TCCAGCTCTGCACCTTGTCATCAAGGTTTATGCATTCATTGGATTAAGAAATAATTCGTTGTCCCCATCTGAGAGACAACAGTGGTGGGTGTTGCTCACCTGCCTAGGTACCACTGGGGAAGGACATAAATGGGAAACTTGGGGAAGGTGGATTTGACACACGCACACAGTCATTTATGAACAAGAGTTTTACTGTTTTAAAAAAAGTTTATTAAAGCTCTTCAGCTTGCACTCAACAGGATAATGCACAAGGATTGTAAAGGGAAGAAGAAAGCAACATTTACATTGTGATGAGGATTGCAGATTGGTAGTGGGATCACCATGGGAATATACCCATTAAGTGACAACTGACAGTTAATTGTCAAAAAATTTTTTTTTAAAGCCAGACAAGTTGACCAATTATTTTCACGGCAACAGCCTGACCAGAGAAATAAACAAAATACTGATCATTTATTTTGTTGGGTTCAGAATGGTGGTCTATGTGCACAGGTTTTTCCTGTCTGCAAACAGCAGGACCCCCGTGAATTAATATGTAGCTTCCAGCACGAACTGCAAGCCCAACTGAATCCTACAATTTGTTTTCAGGCAGTAGAATTTTCAGTGTGGCACACTTTGATACTGCAGCTACAGATGCTGATCAACAGGGGCACTCAGCAGTCTCCTCTCAGTAGAAACATTGTCTTCCCTTTACACAGATTTCATGAACAGTCCTGATGAACAAAAAGTTTGATTAAGTGCCTCACCCTCGCAAAATGTCATACTTTCCCCTCTTTCTCCACCACCCCCCCTCCCCCAAGTCCAAATTTTACTGAATCATTCTGGGAATAGTATTGAAGAAAGAATTGACTGATTCTTTACATGTAGAAGGTGATCTTGCCCAGAGGAAACCAAGCCATTCAGCCCATTATATAGATTTACCAAAAGCTACCAACAGCCAAAGAATCCCCTGCTCCCCCTGCAGCCCAGTAACAAGTTCGATTTTATTTGAAAGCCCAATCACTTAGTCACATTCCATTTGCAATAGCTCTATATTTTAGGGGAACAAAAAAGCCTGATTCATTGCTGGTTCCAAGCGATGCAAGTACACACTACTTAAACTGCAAAGACTAACTAAACATAGGAATTTTTTAAAGTCAGTTTTTTTTTGATATAAAAGGATCATTGATTTAATTGTCATCTTCAAAAAGTGAACTAGTTAAGTCAGTCAAAATTAGTCTTGTGCATAAAGTGGAATAAGACACAGAGCTAGTGAAGTGATCTTGGCTCAGAGGCGGAGTATGGCTAAAAATCAGTGAAAACAAAAGCATCCAGCCCACTGGACAGTAAATGTTCCTTCAGTGATACTGCTGTGAAGTTCTAGACACAAACGTTTGCAGCTGCATGTGAAACAGGCAACTTTAACTGGAAAATTCTTAAAAATTGTCTAGGCAGTAATACTCCAGTAACAAGAGTAGAAGGAGCACAAAAAGCTTCTTGATGTTTTCCATGGCATTGCACACAAGAGGGGCAAATGGGGTAGGAGACCAAGTGTAGTCTTCATGTTATATGCTATTGCAAGTAGTAGGTATTTGATAGAAAGAAATAAATTCCTGACAGCAGGGAACTCTTAGTGGATCTAACCAGTGGGCCAAATGCATTGGCATTGACAGAAGGACATTAATTCATTTCGTGATCTTCCCATTTAATAGGACATGTCATTACACCCTTTATCCACTAGGGACTGCAATCCCACTACTGGGGGTGTTGCACATTTTAATTGCAACAAATACAGTCGAAGCAGAAATGGAAGAATTTGATTTTTACCTCCTGTCTCGTTCTTTGATCACATTGATCTTGTTGACTTGAACTTCTGTTTTGGCCAGGGCTTCTTGGTGTTCCCTTAACATCTGCTTCTGAAAGGGATCAAGTTTATCATCACTCTGCGTCTTCTCCTTCTCTTCCCCAGATTCACTGGCAGACCAAGAGTGACTGGAAACAACACATGGATTGATTTGATTTATTGTAAGCATGTGTACCTAAGTACAGTTAAAAGTTGTTTTGCAAGCAGTACAGGCAGAAAGCAGAAGATAGGGAGAAAAGGGTCTTTCTCAAGATGGCGGCCGGTGGCTAGTGGTGTTCTGCAAGGGCCAGTGTTGGGACCACAACTTTTCACTTCGTACATTAATGATCTATATGAAGGAACAGAGGGCGTTCTGGCTAAGTTTGCAGACTATACAAAGATAGGTACAGCGACAAGCAGTATCGAGGATGTGGGGAGGCTGCAGAGGGATTTAGACAGATTAGAAGAGTGGGCAAAGAAGTAACAGATGGAACACAACGTGGGAAAGTGTGAGGTCATGCACTTTGGCAAGAAGAATAAAAGCATAGACTATTTCTTGCAGGTTGAGTCAGTAGTTAGGAAGGCAAATACAATATTGGCATTTATTTCAAGAGGACTAAAACATTAAAGCAGGGATGTACTTTGGAGGCTTTAAATGTGCTCCAACCAGAGCTTTATATAGAGTATTATGAGCAATTTTGGACACCATACCTCAGGAAGGATGTACTGGCCCTGGAGCTGGTCCAGAACAAGTTCACAAAAATGATCCTAGGAATGAGGCTTAACATACAAGGAACATTTGAGGTCTCTGGGTCTATACTCAATGGAGTTTAGAAGGATGATGGAGGACCTAACAAACTTACAGAATACTGAGCAGCCTGCACAGAGTGAACAATGGGAAGAGGCGTCCATTGGCAGGAGAGACTAGGACCAGAGGGCACAGCCTTAGGAAAAAAAGGGAAGACCCTTTAGAACAGAGATAAGGAGAAACTTTTTCAGCCAGAGCATGGTGAATCTATGGAATTCATTACTACAGAAGGCTGTAGAGGCCAAGCCATTGGAGTATATTTAAAACAGAAATAGATAGGTTCTTGATTATCAAGGGTTACAGGGAGAAAGGGGTTTAGAAACTTATCAGCCATGATTGAATGGCAGCACAGCCTTGCTGGGCCACATGGTGTAATTTTTGCTTCCATGTCTTATCAAAGCAAAGAAGGACATACAGAACATAGGGTGCTTTGACGGACCAAGGCCCATTGTGAAAGGGGAGCAAGCCCAATCCAGATTCAGTGCAAAAACTCAAGCATACCCCATCAAGGATGGAAACTTCACAGACAAAATGTTTGTAATTGCAGGTAAAGGATGTTACACTTTCTTGACCAGCAAGATTTTTGAAATCATTATCACTTCATATTCCTTAAGGAAGAGGTTAGAAATTCAAGAACCAAATGATTAGCATTGCTATGGCACTAATATCATTGCTGCATGTTAAATTAGTAGATTGTCTTCTTAAATACTTCCTTGAAACAACAAAAACCTGGGAAGAGGGTCCAGAGGTCCGGAAAAGCAGCAAAAGGTAGTGTTCAACTACAATAAATGGTCTGTTTGACAGAAACTCATTTCCACATCTAAAGATGTTGTTCACACAGGGACAGACATTGACACATCTCCCCCTCCCAACCGTGTGGCGGTCCAGTTCAATGCTTAGTTAGGTACGTACGCTTTCATTTGCATCAGTAACCTTGGATGTACCTCTTCATCCAACCTCTGTGCCTGGAGAATTTTATTTAAAATATTTTACATTTTAAATTTTAGTTTTATCAATTTTCCTCATTACCAGGAGTTTCCTCCCACCTCCATTAGCGACATTCCTAAAAAAAAAGAAGAAATTGCAAAACTCAAACAAGTTACCCCTTTCTTAACTTAGTGGGCTAAAGAGAATCAGCAAGGGATTGAAAAGTTACAGGCGTAGGCAGATTGGATGTTAAAAGTCAGATCAGCTATGGAGCTTATTAAAAAAAAAGGTAGAACAGGCCCAAGGGCTGAGGGGCCTACTCCCACTCTTAAGTCATGTTCATATGAAAGATTCAGAACATAGCAGGCCAGAAAAAGAGTAAGATTTTGAATTTGTTTTGAAAGACAACATAGGTAAAGAAAAGATTTAAAAATAGTTTTTAGTTCAGCATACAAAGCAGTAATAAACTGTACATCTCAGCATTATTAGGTTCCATAATAGAAAATAAAAGCACTTTCACTCAAAAGAAAACTCCAATTACAACATTGCAACTTTAAACAAGATGAATCCCAACCTAGAGCAACTTGATTCAACCTCAATTACATACCAGCTATAGACAGAATCTTCAGCATTGTCTGTAGACCCATCCTCAGAATCCTCCACACCCACTACATGAGCTGAAAAGATCCCTTTGGTGGTCCTGGGGGTGATTGTTTCATACACAAACTTGCTAGAGGAACTTTGACAATTTCTCCTTGGACGGGACATGTCCTCAGCATCACCCAATCTCACATCAATAATTCTCTTCACCAGAGCCAGCTTTGGTCAGCACACCCAGTAATTTGTCAAGACATTCAAACTCCAACCCCCTTCAAATAGAGAGCTTTTAAAAATAAAACCTTCCTTTTCTTTTTCAGGTTATTTCTCAAAATAAGTTCATTGGAACAATAGCCTACTTGGTCCCAGGGTGTTAACTTAATCAGCTTTCCATTATAGTCACTGGCTCTTTCTGAACGAGGGCTGGTCCTCTCCAGTTCCAATCAACTTTTTAATTTGATCATTACACACTAAGAGTTGCCTGAGCTATAAACAGTCCTATTTGTTTCACCTGGTCAACAAGGTGCAGGGCTGGATGAACACAGCAGGTCAAGCAGCATCATAGGAGCAATAGCCTCTCTGCTCCTATGATGCTGCTTGGCCTGCTGTGTTCATCCAG